TAAAAATATTGTAACTGAATTTATTTTTAACTTGTGCATATTTTTATATTCTTGCTAAACTTGTGAAATTAAATTTGTGCAACTTTTTTTTAATTATTCAACTTAATAATTTCGATCGCATTAATAAATTACACGTTAGGTGTGGCTAGCTGTGTCACTAACCTGGCACACATTCAAGACATGCTAGTGCACAAGTATTATGATATAATTTTAGCTATTGGCATAATATTTTGGTTAAAAGTCAATAATACAAATGACAATATTATTGATATATGCTAAAACATTGCTATTACTATGATTTTTTAATAATTGTAGCGATGCTCAATTGCAATAATAGGTTAAAATAAAGACTACAATTACAAGTTGAGAAGATTCTAAATAGTTTATCGAAAATTTATAAAAATATAAGCCGATAATGAAAATCTAAAATAAATGATAAGTTAGGGTAAAAAAAAGATAGTTGGGGTTAAAAAGTTTTTTGACTGAAATGGCAAACTCACTTCTCATTTTTTACTATTTAAAATATTTTTTTATATAATAAACTACCTTACTCATCTTAATGACAAGCTCGATAAATCGATTAAAATTACTTTCCGTTAATTAAAATTTAATTTCTGACTCATTTTTGACATACTTTGATCTATTAATTGAAGTGCTGAGAATGCTCTTTGGCTGATGTTTTCTATATTTAACGGATAATGAAGGCTATAATCGTTGATGGGCAGTGTTCAATAGTTCCAGTTTAAGTTTTTTTTTTTTTGTTCAATAAAGATTAAATTAATTTTTTCCAAATCGATGTCATTCTTGATGATCAGTTTCACGGAATTTAGCACTATTTTTTGTATATGTCATACAGTACATATGTATAGATATACTATTAGTAATTTCATAGTGGTAATTATTTAAGAAATATACATACTTTAATATATAATTAAAGTAATTCGCATGCACTATACATCTGATTCTTAATTTAGCAAAGAGCATGAGAATTTGTAAGTTTCAAATTTGTTTTGTTGAATTAAATAGTAATAGGCTTGTTTTATTTTTGGGTAAAATATAATTATTGGAAAAAAAAAAATTAAAAAATAAAAATAAAAAAATTGGTATTGGTTCTTTAATTACTTTTGTGATCTATTTCTTCTTATTTTAGTGTGATATTTCATATATATATATATTTTTTTAATGTGGCAGTCCTAAAAATTAATTTCCTTTTTTAACCTTTATTTGATATTATTTTTCTATATATATGACTGTTGTTCGGTAAGTGGAATTTTTTGAGCGCTAATGGGCATGAGCATGGGCAAGAGCAGATGCGCAAGAGCTGCACATGAGCAGCGCTGCTCTATAGAGAATAGAGTATTCATACAATTTGTGAAATTCAAAATTACTTAAAGTAGAAAATTTGAAGAAGATCAATTACCTTAATCAATTTTGATTTCAATCGTAATTACCCAAATTAAGCAATTTTGCGTAGCACCAAACGCTAATGATTGCTTTTAAACGCTAAATCAACTTGTTTATAACATAATACCCTTATTATTTAATTTAAAACGAAATGTAATTCCAAAGTAGTTTATGAATTATAATAATCGAACCACTAGATTAAATATTCGAATATTCAATGAACATTTAATAAATTTATTCCAATATCTCAATATTAATAAAAAAAAATTGGACAATTAACATCAGGAAAATTTGCAGAATTTTTTGCAAAAAACTGCAAAATTTTTTATATTTCGAAATTTTGAACAGAATTGTATTTAATTTCTGTAGCTATAGTTGATGAGTATGAAGTATTGCACAGATTTTTATTTATATTTAATTTTTTTTGCAATCTGCGCAGAACAGCACTACAAAATTTTTTCTGATGCAACATGTATTTTAGTGTTTATTAATACAATAAAATATAAACAAGAAATATATTAATTACCTGAAATATAACCTGACTCTATGTCATTGAGTATTCTGCTGGTATAAGAATGATCCAGATATTCCAGATTCTTAATTGGTAATGCTTTAACGATTTTGTCAGCATCTAAGAAGGCCTTTTTAATTTCATTATCATCTAAACTTTTCATGTGCTGATTCCACTCTTCAAGCCTATTATAAACATCATCAACGGTAGGTCGTTTATTTGGATCTGAATCCATGCATTGTTTAGCAAATTCAACATAACAATCGGGTGTTCCGACAGCAAAATCTGGTCGCAACCCATCATTACAAATTTTTACTACAAGATCCGCATCAATTACATATTTAGATCCATTAAAAGTTATTTGACCTGTTGATATTACTGACATTAAAATTCCAAAACTATAAATATCAGCAGCTTGTGTGTACGGTTTACCTAGTAAAACCTCAGGAGCAACATATGGAATAACGCCATAAATACTACCATCAAACTTTTCATTTGCTTTTCTAGCAAATCCTAAATCTGAAATGTAAACCTGCATACTTTTATCCAACAAAAGATTATCACTATGAAGATCAGTATGAATATATCCCGCTTTATGAATTTTCCTTAATTCTTCTGAAATATTTATGATTAACATTAATTTATTTTCCCAAATAATGTCTTGAAAATTTTCTCTTAAATATTTACGAAGAGTTCCATTATCAACATATTGAAATACCATCAGGTGTTCATTAGTTTCTGTATCTTGTGTTAATCCATACACCTTGAGCTTAGTGCCCATCAACATACACCTTACATGAATTTCAAACTTTGTAAAATAGAATTGGTTAATAAATTTATAAATTGTAAAAAACAAATAAAAAAAACCTACTTCTTTTAAGAATTCGGGAGAGTCTTTAGAACCATGCAAAGTCTTGAGAGCAATTGTGCTAAATGGTTCCCTAATTTTTATTTCACCATTATTTTTTTTTACACCATCTAGCCAGATTGCAGAATGTATAGTATTGAATGATTTAAAAATTTCTTCGATATTATCTAGTCTATCAAATGGAATCCATTCTACTATATCACCAAATTCTTTCAAATAATCATCTATTTCCTTATTTCCACTAGTATATTCTAATTTAAAATTATCTTGGTCCATCTAAAATATACGTGTAAAAAAGAATTAATAGACAGGAATAATAATACAGGGGAATTATTTTCACAATTACACAAATGTAAATTATATATGTTATTGTAACTAACCTTTAAACTAGAGATCAAACGTTTGGCTAACAGTTTTGAATAGAATTTTAGGAAAAAATCTTTATCTTCCATATAGTTAATTGGAGTCATCTAAAAGGGTTAAACAGTGGCAAAATATATAAATTTGAAGTCGCTAATTTTGTAATAAGTGAATTCTACTTACTACTTCTTCAAAGCTACTTTCATCAGAGCTCTTTCTAAGTATAGAATCATAAAACCGGACAAACAATTCTGAAGATTTAGTTGATGTGACTTTAGTAAAATAGTTATGATTGACAATTTCTCGAAGCTCCTAATGATATAATAGCAATATTATTATTACTGAAGAATTATTAAAATGAAACTAATACTTTATATAAATGTATATTATATAAATCGGTATTTGCATTACTTTATCCAATGAGGTAATAACGTTAGCAACACTTCCAAAGGCAGTAATCTTAGTAATATACATATTACGCATTTCTAACAAGGTATTAATATGGTTCCTAGACTCCTATAAATCATAATAGATAATAGTAATTTATTAACTATTTAAATTTCAAGGGTTAAAATGAAATTAAACATACTATCTCAATATTAACATTGCCAGGAATTATTTCCTTAAAAAATTCAAGACACATCTTGTAAACACAATCCTCGAATCGTGACAAAAATTGATCTTAAAAAATTAAGAATTTTTTAAGCTATAATAACATCACATAGCTTATTATCATGAAAAAAAAATATAAAAAGACCTACCTTTATTTATGGTAATTAAGCATGATAACCATACTTCAATTTCAGGCGAAGATTGCTTTAAATAATTATCAATGAGGATACTTTCTAAAGAGTTAACTAGATTCGGAAGTAACATCTCATCTGCGGCTATAATTAAATCTAAAATATTAACATTTGTATCGAAAAATTCATTTGAGATCTCACCAGTATAAACATAGCTATAAAGATTATATATATTAAATTTAATTAAGGCGTCTTGCCATGTCAGAAATGATAACATGAAATTTACTCAAGAATTAATTTAAAGATTTCGGATGAAATATCATCCTTATAAAAAATAATGATTCCATCAGAATTTTTATAAATATTTTGATTGGACAGTGCTAACTTAAAGTATTCACAACGATCCTTTAAAATTGATGTATGAACTTTAAATATTTTGCGATTCCAGTCGTAGCCTGCAATTATGTGCATATCATTATTAATTCCTTTATCATCTAAAAAAACAAATGATTGCTCTAATGGAGGTGAGTCTTTTTCAACCAAATTTTTGTCATTAGAAGATGTAAAAAATGGTGGAATCATAATGTTTCAAATGATTGAAAGTAGATGCTCATGTACGCACATATGTAAATATTTTAAGTTTTGACTTATAATGTCGTGTACGGTGCCACAATGCTAATATTTGTAATGCAAAGCTTTCGAAATTTTATTCATACGTACGTATGTACGATATATCGATAAAAGGAATTTTTAATAATATGATTGGCTATTGTATTGTATTGGCAAAAGAGAGGTTCAATAAAATTTATTAAAAGACTGTTGTATCAAAAAAAAAAGAAAAAAATTACATTTGAAAGTTCAAGTCTGTACTGATTATAGATGCAGACATTTGAAGACGTATGGTTACGTCCAATTGACGTGTCGTCACGTCAAAAGTGTCGTAATGACGTA